AACTGCATCACGTAACAGTAACACGTTTAAGTGCTTTTCATAAGCAAAATGCTGTGTAAGTATACTTATATACAATATACAGTACTGCCTCATTATAACACTACTGTCAGGACCCATTTGCACGAAAGAGCAATATAGGTGAGTGATCGTTATAACCAACTAGTCAAGAAAGCACTCATGCTGAACAAGTACGGATTCAACAGACAACTAAAGCAACGAATTAAATGAAATAACTGTTTATTTACATTCTTTTGATACAGAACTCTGGCTTCTTTTCTTTATTTCATCAATTATTGTAGGTTTCTCAGTGACTGAATAGGCTTTCCTCTTCCTCAATAAGAGTGACACGCCAGTTTGTGTGGACATTTTAATTTTTTTTAAACGTGAGCTATCTCTTTTCGATGTAAATTCTAAGAATGCATAATGAGCTTATTTTTTATATTTATATGGTAGAGACAGGTGGTTTACGGGAGAAATAACATGATTGGCTAAAATATTTATTTGAAAACAATCGGCATTTGCATTGGATAAGTTTGGTTTTTGGTTTGTTTGGAATTAAGCACAAAGCTACACAATGGGCTATCTGTGCTCTGCCCACCACGGGTATCAAAACCCGGTTTCTAGCATTGCAAGTCTGCAGACATAACTCTGTGCCACGTGGGGGGGGAGGGGGGCATTGGATAAGTAAAATCGCACCAAAAGTGAGCAGGCTTAACACTATTCTAAACCTTCTGCAATTAACTACATGACAACTCTATTTTCTTTCGAAACTGAGCAGTATCTTGGTTTTAATCCGTAAATAGTTCTTGGAACGTCTTGCCTTCTCCACAAAGTTAAACTATCTTCATATTTAAAAACGTAATTTATGTCCAGATAGATGGAATCACCGCAGGGTCCAATGATCTATTATATTCTATTCTAACATGATTGCAAGTAACTAGACAACTGCCCATATGACTTTTAAACTTGTCCTTTACAAACGCTATATCGATGAAACTTTCTTGCTATTTCGACAATCAAGTCTAAATTCCCAACATCCAAATATCAAGGTAGCATCTTTGGGCTTTGCATTCAGGTCTTATCGCTCTTCTTCCTTTATTTTGGGACAGAGTGTGATTACTTTAGCCTCTGAAGCCAAGTGGCAATGAACTTAGCAGCAGATGATACTGTTACGTATCTGCTTGTTTGTTAATTTCCGGTAGAAATTCTTTCTGAGGAACTTCAGCGATACAAGTCCTTTCTTGATTAAACCAGTTTATTTTTTATTGTTACAAACTTTTAGTACACAGTAATTCCCACTGTCAGTACGTTTCTCGTTACTTTAAACTTAACAACTTTTACAATACACGCTATAAATCAAAGCGATTCACAATTTCGATAAATTCGCTCTCTACAAGTACGAAACACACACTTTATATTTCCCGAAAAATCGAAACTACTGTTCGCTTAACTATACATTTGTTACGTCTCCGTTTGTTAATTGATTTTCCGTAACTTCGTTCCGACGAAACTTTAGCGACACAAGTCCTTACTTAATAAAACTGGTTTATTCTTTACGATACACTTATTTTTAACAATTGCGCTAAAACAAACGCTATATCAACGAACGTCAACAATACTTCTGACTGCAGTTCAATTACTCACTATCTACACACACATTACCTTCCCGTCACGTTGTCACCCTCTTTTATATACCAGCCTACCCTATATCTGGTAAATGCTAGAGCATTCGCCAAACTACAGGATAGTTCTAGAAAGTAGAGGGCGTGAGAATAGTCACGTGATCTCGATGGCGCAACACATTCATTATCGTTAATTGGCTTTTCTCGCCAGGCTTATATACTCACAAAGAAGCTTCGACATAATTCGAGGAGTTCCCTGAAAATTCGAGAAACTCATTCACGCATGCGCTATCAGCGTCACGTAACTTCCACTGTCGTAACAATACAAAATTTTTGGGAGCCAAGGCACCACAGCCTTATATCCGAGAAAGTATTAAACCGATAACGTTATAATGAGGCAATACTGTATTATTCAAAATTGTATAATACTATTATATATTGTTGTGTCATCGAGTCACATGACTACTGTGACGCAACGTTTCTA